CTCCTATCGATCTATATAGAAGGATCGGGTTCGAACTTGAATTCACTTGTCAACCCGCGCAGCATCCCTAGACGTCACGTGTGTACCAATAACACGCTCGCCGGGGCCCATGCGGGTATTTGATTACATTTATCCCTTTTAGTGTGCCTATGTGTATACAAACTATTGTGCACGTGCGGGGGTATTCTTGGAATAGACGCCTTCTGTCTGCTTGTACAAATGTTGCAGATTCGGTGGCGTTGCATTGTAGTTGTGGACGCCTTCTGTCTGCTTGTACGAATGTTACAGATCTAGTGGCATGGCGTAGCAGCTTCCGAATAGAATTGTTTGCTGCTTCATACAGGTAGATTGTCGTGCACTACTCATTTCTTTCTGCAGGTGGCTCGTAGTGCACTAACTAATCTTCTGCCTTAACCCATAGGTGCTTGTATTTATTGTGGTCTTCTTGCATTTTGCCTGCAGGCGATATATTTGACTTATAACAAATCTCCTACAACAGTTCGTAGGAGTTTGCATTTGACACATCATTCATCTCTACTTGTAAATGATCAACATATTTGATTGATATTGTATAGGAGTTGACTACGAGGATAATGTAGCATCCATTATCTTCTACTACACAATTTGTAGGTAGTCGCATACGTTCTTGACTATAATGGTATCGTAGCATCTACTGCTCGTTATTGATTAGCACTAGCAGACTTATTATGTATATGAAATATTCTTTGTCGTCGTTGCAATCATTTCAAATCCACAGTTGCATGATCCTTGATATTATTCATGAATAGTTCACTACACACATTATAGATCCTTTGTTGATCAATGTATTTGCTTGCAATTGAGGTTATTTGTTTGCAGATATTATCATGAATGATCATATTTGTATTGACAGCAAATAGGTCATCCCCTTTGTGATATTCTCATTTTGCTTGTAGACAACCTATGTCTGTAAACTCTTTGTCTTCAAGAATGGTTTATAGTATGCATGATAAACTTGATGTTGTTGAATAGAATTTGCACTTTTATTGAGGTGATCATTCCCTAATATTCTATTGGAAACCTTACAAGCATATCATCACATCCTCTATCTTATTCTTGCTTGCAAGATTGACTTTATCATCTTACCAAATTACAAGTTTCATTTTAGGCATCAAATTGCATTCCAAACTTTCTATTCAAATTTCAAGTTCTGCTAGTCTTGTTTAGTCCAAGCTTTTCTTGATGTTGTACAATTCGAGTTCATGCCCACTATAGTCCCAGATCAAGTCTTTTTTCACTTTATTCAAATGTTCAAATCTCTTATGAGTCATTTGAATTCCTTGTGTTATGGTTCGACTTGAATTCTTATGGACCATTCAATTTATAGTTCATTATAAAAAAAAAAACCACTTGATATTGCATGGTCCAAGTTCAAAGCACATAATCAAGTACTTACTTGAATTCAAATGACCAACTGAAGTTCTCATTCTTGTTTGAGTTCAAAGTGCAAATTCAAGTATAAGTTAACTTCTTGTACCAAGCTCATTTAGGTTCAAGTTTTGTTTAGGTTCATTGTAGTTCCCTTCTGAATTTGGGTCCAAGTCCTTTGTAATCAAAGTACAAACTCTTTGCTTGAGCTCAACTCCAATCAAGCTCTATTTTGTTATGAATGCATCTCTCACGTAACCCAATTGTATAGAATTTCCTCATCACTTATGAGTGAGTGGCATTTGTAAGTTTAAGTGTGAGCTCCTTGTTTGAGATTAAGTTCAAATATATTGAGTTATTGTTCATGTCTTCTTTGTAGTCAATTTGTATGTCCAAAAAAATTTGCACCATGCTCTTTTGAGTTCAAGTGGTCCACCTCTTGTTTTGAGTTTTTCTTAAGCCATTATTCATCCAAGTTTGATTTTAGCTCA